AGTGCATTAATCGACTCAAAAATAAACAGACTTCCTACAGGGTTTTGAACACGGTTTTAATTAAAGTACTTTACGAGCGCTGCGGTAGTTGACCGCAAAAGTGTTACGGTGATGGATACTCAACTTGATGATTACGTCACTTCATAGCAACCAGACGGTACGAATTTTTTAACTTCCGGAGCGCTGAGGCTCGTAGTGTTTCTGTGACAAGGGCGAGTTGGTATCGCGTTACACCGACTGTAACCGACTCACTCGTGTCATGGAGAGAAATAACATTCCGCCCTTTTAAGCGAAGCTTAAAACGCATGTGGTAGCCTGCGAACCGGCAGACTAATTTCGGTCGTCGCTTCTCGGAAATTCGTCTGGGTTCGCAGGCTATGCCTGTGGTGACTAAATTTTCGAAAATTTGCGTTAGTCTCATCAATGTGATGAGGTAGTCATCTTCGTTCGTATGGCAACAGTTTTAGAAGACCCTCGTCTGCTTGCTTGTAGCAAGTTGATTGAAAACACTAGCTTTTATTCTGAAAAAAAGACATGACAACAGTGTTAAAAAGTGAAAAGGTGTCATGTGGACTTTTTTTCAGCAATTTCCCCTTCCTTTGCTCTACCTTGTTTTCCATTTTTGACAATTTTTTAGTTGCGCTTTTGTATACCCGCTTGCTTTAAAAAATTAATGTCGTTAGCCATTCTATTTTAATTTGAAACATAAAAATTTACCGAGGAGAGGTTTAATAAGTACCTTTGGTTTCAAGATGCATGCACTTCAATTTTTTTTTTCCTATAGGCTAATTATAGCGTCCAATTTAATACATGATACTACCAAACTACGATATACTAGTAGTCCTTCTGATCTAATGAAACTAAACACTGAAAGGTTTCGCGTAAAGTAACAGGTTTTATGGGGAACATGCAGCCTAGGTCTATTTAAGGTAGCGAAATATGAGCAGCAGAGCGTTGTTTCTTTAAAATGACCCTTGCTATACTCTAAGATCTGTCGCGAAGTATAGCATGAATATTTAACCTAATAACTCGTTATATAATATCATTTCCGTTCTTATCCATTTTACACGCTTTACCCACTGACACCCTCAACTTGTTAGCCCCGTTTCTACCACTGTAAAATAAAGAACTTGAGGGAAATACGCGTTTTCGTTTTACCGATATGGACAATATGGAAAAATTATACGCAGCAGGAGCCCGTGGGTCATATGCTCCTGTTCCGTAGCCCACCATGCAGAAACGGCGCCTTTCATTTTATTTATTATATACTGACTGATTATATGATATTTCATGTAATTTGTCATTTATTATGCCGAGGTCTTCCATTGCGCTACGTTACAATTTTCAGTCAGTTCTTCTTCTTAACTCGATCAATTGCGGGCAAAATATTAAGCCATGACTTGATCTGACTTAATGGCTTTACATGGTGAGCTACTTAAAATAATTATAGCTGAAATTAATAAAAATGCCCGAATATTTTTTTTGCTCAAACCGCCTAGTTGTTACTTTGTTCGATAATAAAGGCCGTTCCCCTGGGGGTACTAAAAAAAAGTCTTATACGGGGAGGCTCTGCCACGAGTTCCAACCCCTTACCCTTTTATACATTAATTTTGACAGAAAGGGGAACCTCCTTAAATTGACGAATGGTATCCCTTTCACACACCTAGTTTAGAACCGTTGCATTCCGATTAACTGAACGTTTTCACGACTTTTACACAGCCACAAAATGCACTGCTAGCTGTGTTTAATTTCCGCCTTTTTAACAACTGAAACAACAGCTTTCCCTACCCTTTGACATACTTCAACAAGTGAAATCACTACCCTTTCATATACCTAAGGCCTGAAGGAGCCTCCCCGTAAAGGACATTATAGGGAGTACCCCCCCCCCCCGCCACCAGGGGACTGTTCTATGAAAACAGTGAAAACCTCCTCTGTTAATGACAGTTCTACTAAAAATAATTGTTGGCATTTAACTGTATAAAGTAAGAATGATTAATCATTGTCAAAGTAGAATCGCCATTATTGTATTTCAGCCGACTTCAGTGTGAAAATTAGTTTCGTTTGAAAAATGCTTTCTTTGTAAGCGTACTGACCAGCCATGATTGCGTTGGAAATTTCTTTTCAGTGTCGTGTATGGCATCAGTGAGGTGCATTCCACTCAACAGGTTGTATAACCATCTGAAATAATAATTCTGACCAGAGATCCTTATTGCGGATGAGCGAGTACGGTTATGTGCAGCGGTACGGTACCAAACTAGAAAATCATCTTCACCCAGAAAATCTGGGCGTGGAGGTGGACCACTGTCTCGTTCCTTGATTGTTTGCATTCCATCCCACTCTTCAAAAAGAAATAGCTTTGGTTTTCCATCCAGCGAGGGGCATTTATCTCGGCTGAAAAGCGATGTGATTTCCTTGGTCTCATCTTTTGATTCACGGTTCAGGATCACGCACAAAAAACAATCGTCACTGGAGAAGTCTCGTCCAGCTGTGTCTTTGAGTACTTCTAACTCTTCACGCTCTGACAGATTGACTTTTCCTTGATTCTGAAGCCAAAGTCCTGGCCCATAAATTGCTTTGCAACATAAGAGAATTGTGAACTGCGGTTGTTTATCATTAAGAAATAGCCACCGGACACTGGTTTGTAGTCTCCTTTTGAAGAAAAACAAGGAAATAGTTTTAAGTTTCATCTTAGAGAGCTCAATCAACGACGACGGTGACGGCCACGAGAAAGGCAAGTAAACAATAGGTTTCGATTTGATAGATTAGCAAAAAAAAAAAACAACAACAACAACTTCCCACGTGCATCATTCTTTTTTCCCGTCACTGCATTATTACGACATGAAAGTCATCATAGTTTCACGTTTCGTGGAAGACGTGAACACAAGTCAAAACAAAGACTTTCTTTTCCTGAACTTCGATACATTCTTTTAGAATTCGTGCAACTCCCGAAACATTTGCAAACATTTGACGGCATTGAACAAGATGAAATAAGCGCGATACATTTTTGATTAAGCTCCCTCTTTGCTCAGGCTGCGCCTGTTATTTACCTTAGTAATAATATTATTATTATTATTATTACAATTATTACTGTTTGGTAGTATTATTATCATACTTTATAATTACCTGATTTGTGAATGAAAAAGTCTTTGTATAACTTTTACTCGTCTTCTGAAATGATGGTCATCAGTTTCACTTCACTTAGGTTAATCTCTTTCAGAACTTCAGCCGTGACAAGGGTATCTTGGACCACTTCATTGAGATGTCCTCTGCGATAATCCTTCCAAAGAGCCTCAAGGACTTCTAATGAACTGCAGGAAACTGTTATGATCAAACTACCTTGTCTGAATCCTTGAACAACAACACCAAGCTTTGTTTTCAAATATTCTAGCAACATTTCTAGGGTTTTCTTAAATGCACAGACAACGTCCCAGAAATCAATAGCTTTTGGACGATTCTGCAGACTCGTCTGAAGGAGTAATAGTTTGATTTCTTCCAGCTCGCAGGCATTCTGGTCCACTTTTTCAATTAGTTTTTCGATCTCGTCTTTAGTCTCCAAATCCTTTTTGTACCGTAACCGAAGTTCTGAAACATATTCCTTTGCATCTGGTGTTAGTGGATCACGGAAAAGGTTTTCGATGGACTTCTTCCACTCATCTCTCTTTGCCCTACTTATCCTGTCGGCAATTCTCAATAGGGCCTCACTGATTTCCATCCAAAGCTTCTCAAAATCAGCATTTGTTATCTCCATTCTGTGGTTGTGACCATAAATTGTGTTACGATAAAACTTAACTCTAACCACGTCTGCCTCACGGCTGTGATCAGTGCTGTTGGGTAAGTTGTCCCATCCGGTGGAAGGGGTAAGGTTGCATATTTCTCGAAGCAGTTTACATAGTAAGGTGACGTCAAAGTCGGACGACTTTCCATAAGCTCCTGACGGTGGGTTGTAAAGGCAGTCCCATTCGGGGTAGGTAAGGACTCTATTTCTTCTCAGTGTTTGCAGCTTTGACTTAATGGTAGGGTTACCAAGTACAGCTGGAAGGTTGGCTGGCGGATGGATAGCGTCAAACACTTCTCTTAAGAGTGCGAGCCCTCCACGCATCAGAAGCCTTGTCAACCGCTGAAAATTTGCCTTTTCATCTGTTGTACGTAACACTTCATCTGCAGCAGATTGTGATGTACCTGTAGCCATTTCTATGCCAATACCATAGGTGAAACTAAAAGAAAAAGTAGCAGATCATACATGTCACTTTAACCCTGGGTTGTGGAGCAGCAAAATTGAAGATAACTGAGTAAAAAAAAATATCTTATAGGGAAAACTCTTTGCACAGCAAAAAAACAAAAAAACAAAAACAAAACGTTACACCTGAGTATAAAAGTGTGCAGAACATGCATGCATGTTGTGGGCTTTTTGGTTTAACTATCCCTCCCTTAGTGAGAACTTGAATAGATCATGTCCTTGTGGAACTTTGAAGAACTGACATTGGGTAGAGGTAGAACTTTTTTAAAAGAACGGCTCGGCCACTTCAGAGATGAAGACAAATGATTATGATGTGATTGACTAAAAATTATATAAACTCAGTTGAAAAAATGAGCTTTTTATCGAATGGGGCTGTTCCTGTGCATGAAACGAAAAAAATCGTGTTTAATCCCATCCACTCCTTATGGGTCATCAAGTATCATTAAGTTCGAATAGCCTCTAGAAGTTTATTTTGGCAGTCTAGAAAAAAAACAATCTTACTGAGCAACTAGTCAACTCTTTAATTTGGTCAGGGAAATAATATCTACATATTAAAAAGGAATGACCATCAAACACGCACAGCAGTGTTTTATCACTGATAAAACACGTGCTGTGAGTGTTTTGAATAGCTTCAAAAACGTCCTCGGAGTGTTTCGTTTCAATAGGATTGCTAAACCTTGCATTTCGGTTTTAAAACGTGTTGATTGCGCTTAAATGACAAACAAAAGCAGCCAAAATAACACTGAAAATTTGGTCGATATAGTTATGCATTACATTGGGCAACGTAACTGAAGTACTCGGTTTAAAAGCATCTACTTACCTTCGCTATACGGCTATCTAAATGAAAGAATTTCCGCAGTCAATCCGCACATGAGGAATTGCAAACTGGTAAAAATTTAATTGCTTGTGACTCATTTCCCCTACTCAATCTTGAAATCGGCGGTAACAGAATATCTTGATATGGCGGTTTCTCCGTTAAAAAACTTCGCATCGACGGTTTTTTTTGCTTGCTTGCTTGTTTTTTGTTTTGCGTTTTAGGACGAACATTTTTCCGTTTCCGGTAGATATTTTCTCAGAAAATCAAAAGTTTTGTTCTTCATTTATTTGCAAATTAGGAGGACCATTTATAAAACTTTCGTCCTTTATAAGTATTCTTTATAAAAAGTTTATCCTAATCAGCCTGTTTCAGTCATTCAACTCCGTATTCCCCTGAGGCTGAATCCAAAGCTCTCGCCTAACTCGGCATAAATGTCCTTGCACCTGTTTAGATTCGAGAACTCAGTTGGACAATATGCCTACTGAATATTAATGAATTTTTAAAGGAAACTAAATGTCAACATGTCTCATAAATTGCTTAGTAAATTACTGTGGGTTTGATTTTTTAAGCTATTTTTCTTCTTTATAAAGTATGTAAAAGAATCCTAGCAGTCCTCAGGGACTGCTGCATTATTACAGACTGTAAACTTCCACTTTTAATCTCTGGGCTCAAACAACTTCGTAACTCAGTGAAACGGAAGTTACAGTGAGCTTTCAATTTGCAAGTACCGACTTACTGCTATTTGCGAGACACATTGAAAGCTAAAAAAGGTTCTGATTTTTTAACTCAATGAGAAAATTTAGCCATTTGTAGTGCAGGAAAATCAGTGGTTGAGACATAATCTATTGTAGGTTAGACACAAATACATTGATATCGCCGTGTGTATACGCTAATTACATGTCCTGTCGATGTTCTCGGCCCAGTATTAAAAGAAGTGATGCCTATTTTTGCCTTGAAAACAACTGCTGTACATTCAATCTCGAATACTGACGAGTTACGAAAAATTTGTACCTAAGTGTGGTCTCCCATAATCTAATCTGGTGTGAAAACAATTCGCATATCAATTACCTCTCCTTGTTCTTGATATCCAAACTGAGCAACTGCAAGGTGAAATCTGTATAAAGAGAAACATTCAAATTATCGATCGACGACATAGTTTTTTTTAATTTTTGTGATCACATATAAATTTTCAAGGCAAACTTACTTCAATTTCTAAATAGTGCACTAGGAAATTTAAGAAGCAAGTTTCTTTTTCACAACCTTTAGAACATAAACAACCCCGGATCAATAACCACTTCCTCCTTGCCGTACGAATATTAACTAATATTACTGCAGTCTCTAAATCTTGAAATTCCAACCTTCGATTCGATTCTAAGTTTGAAGTGAAGCTTAAAACATGCCACTTTTAACCATTATGGTGTGCTAAAATATAGATAAAACAGCTTTAATTCCTTAAGTGGGTAAAAATCGCCCAGAATTACTGTATTTCGTTTTTCTCAGAAAGGAAAGGTCTAAAAAGACTGGGAACAAAAAGCGCCTTGGTCATGCCACCTACTCATACTCTAAATTTCGCTCGTCACGCAGATTTGACCATCCATCATAAATTGATACAAAACAACTGTTTTACCCTCCAGGTCCCAGCGAGAAACAAGATATATTGCTCAGAGATGCATTTTCGGAGTTGAGGGTTATTATAACTGAATTATAGATTGTAATCGAATACTTGAATTTTTACCTACCTGCCGCGGGGAGGGAGGGTGCTCCCATATCAAAGAGAAGGATGTGCCTGTCGTCTTGCAGTAGGTTACAAATTTTGGTCTTAAGTAGGGTGCTCGGGCCAAAGTATTTTTACCCGTACATTTATCACGTAAGATCGTGTGTAAAATGAATATAGTTACAAAATAAAACCAAACCCGAATGACTCTTTTGGTTGCGGTTCTACTGTTTCCGACAAGCACCTCTGTCGTTTTCATACTAGAGACTCACCCCCCCCCCCTTCCCCCATTAGGGACATCCGCCTGTCCCTAACGAAGCTTTGTGTGTCCCACCGAATTATCGGGCACAGAAAAGTTGGATATGTAAATTGCAATTGTGCAAGTAACCTTGTGTGTGGCTGGTGATTATCGGCTAAGTCTTTTGGAATGAGTAGGACACAATGCACAGCTGCAAAAACTGAAACAAACCTCGTTGTTAACGCATTGGTTCCTTCACAGTCCCCTTGGGTAAGGCAGGAACGCAAAAAACAAAAATGAAAAACGACTCTTTAGGTTTCTTAGAGTATGGATAGTATGGTCTTTGTGTGTAATCATGGGCAGGAAGGAAAGGGAAAAATAGTGGAGTCAAAGCCGTCAGAGCTAACATTAGTTAACTGAGTCGTACTTGACTCTTCCAGGTTTTACAATCTCCTTGTGGTAGCACGTTCCCAGACACCTGATCGTTATTTGACGTTGGCCACATTTGTCTTGAATGTTATGAATGCTTAGTTACGCCCCTGGGAAACTCAGAAAACGTTCGATGTCGTTATTTATTTTATAAAAAGGTATGTAGGATATTTTCGCAATCCCCCCCCCCCACCCCCTGCAAAGTGGATAAGTTCGTTCAGGGATAACTACTTTTCTCCCGGCCTTAATTGCTGGATAGCGCTATCCACCGGATAAATCACAAGTTTTTAAACAAACTCGTATAAATATAGCATGAACTGAGTAGAAAAACAAATAACTCTCGCCTAGCAGGCACCAAGCTATAACGGACACTCCCTCGAGAGCAATCGGGTGGCATATGCATCAAATAGGAGGGATGGTGTGTGATTTAAGAGAAGGCCTTACTATTCAATTCTTACAGGACCGAAAAGCCCTTAATATATTTTTATCGTCCCTTTTAATAATAAAAAAGACCGCATCAGTTAACAGCTGACGTAAACATGGGCTTTCTAACATACGTGTCCCTTAATCCCTCTCCTCCATTCTCCTTTACTAACTTTGTAATGTCAGTTTGTCCTGTCCCGGATTGTGCTCGTAAAATGCTGGAAAGTGCTTTTTTACTAGAATGCCAAAAAGTTGCTTCGATCCTAGATTTCAAAAGCTGCTTCCGACATTTTTTTGTATCTTTTTTTATAAACGGCAATTTAAAGGCTCTTTTTGTTCTTCACAATTATTACTAACATTGGTGAAGAAAACTAGCTTGAAACTTAGAATAAAGTATCGCTCCCTAATCAACGCGTTTTCTGCGTATTCGCCTTTGCTGAACCTTCCTGCCTCTCGTCTTCAAGCATTTTACCAGCATAGGTTTGTGCTTTACCAAACTCTATTTTCCATCTCGTTTCTGTAGGAATTTTTGCAGGGACTCCTAGGACAGGTTGCGAGGTTTCGAGCTGCCATCAATGTGATTGTCCGTAAACTTGTAATCATCAGCTGGCCTGGAAGCTAAGCGTAAATGTTCGCGGCCTAAATTTACTGCTGGCCTATCATCAGGCTTAAGATCCAAAAGAAGTTGATAATTCCCAGTTGTCCCGAATACGATGCGTTTTACCTCTGGAACGTGAACTTTGATTGTATAACCTGCTTCTGTCAACTTACCAAAACGATGTTCAAATACCAGCTTCTTATCTGACCTCTTGAAGTACAGGACATAAAATGCTCGCCAGGGTTTCAGGTCACCCTTGAAATATAATTTACTAATGGTAAAAAAAAAAAAAAATTCGCTGGCAGCTGCAGAGAAAATTATCAAGAGAGATAATGAAATCCCCACAAAGGCTGGGAATTGGGTTAGCTTTTATATTGGTATTGAGGTCATAACTGAAAAAAAGAAACCTGGAACGGGTCGATCATCAATATATATTCCACCCATAAAATCCGTTGTATCGATGAAGACTGCCAATCCCTCTGTTAATTGAGTCCGTGTCCTGGTGTATACTCAGAGCTACAGCCTAGTCGACTATCCAAGCTAGCCAGGCTAGGCGATGCGAACCAAGTACAGCTCGTTGTGTTTGGTCGTTTGATTATGATCCTCCTAGTGAGGGTATGTCTGCCTTGTCTGTCTCTCATTAAGGTCACCAATAATATGTTTGAGTTTCCTCATCAAATACAAAAAACTTTTTCACCTGTTTCATCGATAAATTCGAGTCAAACCGATATAGCGCAATTACCTGTTAAAACTTCCAAACCGAATTTCGTCACCTTCGATTCCTAGTGTATTTTGGGAACAGCTTGTTTGAATATTTGTGAAATTTCTTTGTTTGTTAGGTCAGCAAACCGAGAAGTCATTTTGCTGGTAACTTAATTACGCTAGTTTGGCGTCGCTCGCTCGGAGGAACTGGAAGTGAATCAGTGAATAGCCCTGGATATCCGGAGGTTGAGTATGCCAATCAGAGGGCGCGAAAAACACTATCCATTGTTTTAGTATATACGGATGCCTACTGTCTTCAATTTTAGACTGGATCTAAACCTAGTGTTGGTACAAAGATTTGTCACAGGTGGTTGTGATAACTTAGTGAAAGTTGGGAAGTAAGTTCATGCCGCAAGGTTTTTCACCTATTTAGTGGTGGGGGGTACTACATGTATTACTGTTGTTTGCTTTTTGATGATGTTTACTTTTTGATGGCATTCTATCTTGGAAGATTATTTCCTTTAATTTGCCCGTTTATGACCGATGAATAAATTATTCAGTTGCCATCAGTAGCCCTTAAATTTATCTATATATTTTTTTAAGTTTAAATTATTTTATTGTTGGTACTCAGGGCCATCCTTCTCAGTTCCACCTGAATTTTTTTTTAGACAAGTGGATGGTCAATGGATTGAAGAAGAGAAACTTGAGGCTCATAATGATGGGTCAGAGATGTTGCCTGGGCTCTTAATGTGGGGTTACCTGTCAGCACTTTTGGTTGTGTTCCCACGTAAAGAAACCTTCAGTACACTGAAGTGGGCTCCTAATCTGGGGTAACCTGTTAGCACCATATCTTATTCCTACCTAAAGTGACCTTCTGAACACTGCTCAGCTTTGAAGAAGTACAAATAGAACCAGAGGAAACCCAGTTACTTCAAAAAACAAACTTCAATTATATAGGGGTAGGACTGTTGCTAAGATTTCAAGTCGTCTGGTATATGCCCATCCTCGGAGACCCAGGGGCAGATAGTGGGGGCGAGGGAAAGTCTAAACGGGCGGAAAAATAAGGCACGAAGAAAAGTAAAGAACGGCGATCTTTACCTTTCTTCGTGCCTTATTTTTCCGCCCGTTTAGACTTTCCCTCGCCCCCACTATCTTCCCCTGGGTCTCCGAGGATGGTATATGCCATAGTAAATTATTATTACATTTTGTGGGGAGTTCAACAGCTAGGAATTGGTGGTATATTGGTTGGTTTGAATTGGTTGCATTTTGCCCGTGGTCATGCTTGTAGAAGCTGAGCGAAATCTCCCTGGCCCTAAATAAAAGACTGGTAGGGAAGACCAGAAATTTGCGTTACTTCCGCTTGCCCCACAGGAAGTTTATAGATTTAGCCAATTATGTGCGTAGTTCCAGCCCCCATCTTGTTTTGAGCTTTCAAAATTTTTAAAAAATGTCTGTCCGACGAAGGAAGTAATTGGGTGAAGAATGAAAGCTTGTATCCACGAATTTCAACCAAATACAAGACAAGCAAATTATTTTGAAGGATTCTAAAGGATAACAAGCCGAACAAACGCGAAAATCGAGGTAAGAAAACCGTAAATTGCAATTCCCCGCCATGGTCTGGCACATGTTTTCTGATCCGTCCCCCCGAGCTTTTTGCCTTCAAAGCCTTGTTTATTCTGATGAGTTCTGTCAATGATTTCATGTTTGCTTGTTTTTAAATCGATATTTTGCTGAGAAAGTAAAAAATAAAGCGTCTTTCGAAAGTAAATCTCGGGTCACGAGGTAAGACACGTTTGTTTTGCAGATCACAGGTTACAGGTCACAGGTCACAGGTCACAGATATGGCCGGTCATAGATAAAGTTAGGTGGTAGCTGCATTTCTAAGAATATCTTGCAGAATATCTTCCAAGTTTGTTCTGTATGGATATTTATTTACACTCGGAAATAAAAGACCAGATGTGGTCACAAAGGCTGTGTCCTTTATGTAACAGCCGTCAATTCAGTGTCAATTCCACATTTTATTTGATGCGATCAACCTTGAAAATTACTGTAATACCCATAATGACTCCGTAATGTTCGATACCTTTGATTTGTGAGTCCAGTTAAATGATCCTCATCTGAAAAAAGACGAAAGAAACGAGGCGGTGAAAAGCACTTGTATGTTGAGGTTTGGACTAATCTCGAATGTCAAAACCTTGCACCTACTGGGGCCTAGTGCACAGGACACCTAACATAGAAACCAAGCAGTTACACTTTATTTTCCTCTTCCCCTCCCCCCCCCAAAAAAAAACGGAAAAGGGAGCACTAGTATTGGCCCCACCAGCACTCCCCTAACCTCACTTGTGGTGAGGTCATTGAAAATAAGAGATCAATACTTGACAGATGTTTACACAGAGGAAAACCTCACTGGTGTGAAACACTTGCTCGCTTTCTTATTTTGAAGCTAACATGGCAGATGTTATGAAGGTGAGCTAAACATATAGTTCAATTTTTGTCCATTTTCACATTAGGCAGTTGTTTAACTTCATATTTCGATAGATTGCAAGTTACCATTAGCTACTAGTTAGTTAAATTGATCTACACTTTTTCATCATACAGAATTAAGCGGAATGCACACAATGTTTGCAATCAATTCAATTGTTTTAGCTAAATTCAAGTGTACTTTATGTTTATCTATACTATCAGTGAAATGACACTTTAAATTGTTCTCTATTATGAATTTTCTCTGGCCAGCAAAGATATTACAAAAGACTGTTTGACAGTATTTAGCTTTGTGGCATAAAAAAAGAAAACATATTCTTAGCTAGCAAAATCTCTGATATAGATCAACTCATTCTTTAATTCACCAATATTTAGAGTGGGGGTTACAAGTTTATCAGTTTTTTTTATAACTGTCGCGTGTTTACCCTCTTTAAATAAAGGCATAACCTTGCCTTACCTTACCTCACTTTGGTCTAACAAATTAGACGTAAATTTTAGCTGTGTCTTTATCCAGCGTGCAAAGAAAGTATAGTGTTCGATAGCCCAGGGCTAGTGGATTTTGCTATTGGGCTAGTGAATTCTGTTTTTAACTTGCCTGATGGGCAAGTGATAGTTTTTGAGGAATTCGAATAACGGAAGAACTGTGAAATCAATTCTGCTAGTCAAAAAGTTTTTGGGGCTAGTTGAAATGACGTCTGGGCTAGTAAATCCTTAGCTTCACCTTGCCTGAATGGCAAGCTGAAAATGATTTTCTTTGCATCCTGTTATCAGATATAAAGACACTCATTATAATTAGTTTTTGGATTGGTGTGAAAGGTACAATCCAAAGGATTGTTTACAAACTAAACCATTCTGTTCCCCAGTTGAGCTTCTACAGACGTGACGTGTGACCTGCAAAAAAACTGCTGCACAAGGTGATGCTCAAGTCTCCAATTTCACTATGCTAATTACACTTGTAGCTCTGACCTCATTTGCATTATCTGACAGCATCACAAAATAAATTAATTTGTAGAAAATTGCTAGTCGCTCTATAGTTTCGACCAATATTTTGAAGTTGTATGGTCAAAATTACTTAACATAAATGCTGAAGACAATCTAATCTTGCAGAGTCACCTTTTTTAACTATCAAAAAATTAGAGGGGAAATGTAGGGAACTCTCAACCCACTCAATATTTATTTAATTACTTTGCAAAAAGCTGCTGTTAAGTTGTGTCACTATATCGACTAATCCTGAAGCAAGGGCTGCGGGTACTTTGAGAGCTTGACAGTAAGTTTTTCTCGGTTTGTCAATAGGATTGCCGTGTAGTTATCTTGACAAGGAATGAGGTTGCAGGTGGTGGTTGCATGGTCTTCAAAGGTAAAGAAATAAATATTCTACTGGTACAGTATAGTTATGTGGAAAGTTGGTAGCCATTACAAATTTTTGTATAGTGTATTTAATACTTAAAGGAAAACAAGTTTTATGGAGACCCATTGGCCCCTCCTAAGCATCATAGTTTGCACGGGCCAGGAATGTTCCTTGAAAAACTGCTACAGGTAGGTCTTGAATTTGTAGAAATATTGAAGCAGTGCTTGAATTATTGTGAAAACTCCTTGAATACTTGTCTTAATGTACTTGAGACTTATAGCTTTCTGTATCAGGACAATTGTGTGTTTCTTATTCAAAGTATCTAAGTAACTGCAATTTTAATAGGTTTTAATTTCCTAAGTGTACTTTTTCAGTCACCTTCTAAGAAAACAAAATCACTAAGGAAAATATAGCTTGTTGGTGAGCTCAGTGATGATGATGGAAGCTGCCTAGTTAACTGTTATTTGTTACCTTTTTGTGTGTTTATTAAAATAAATAATTAATTTAAAAATAAATAATTTAGTTTTTTGTGTAAAAGTTCCTGCTGGTATCTTTTTTTGGGACATATGGGGTAATATAAACTTCTTAATATTTATTAACAAAAGGTGCCCTTCTCCACTTATTATGTTTTGATGAATAACAAAAGCTATAAAGTCAATCTTGTTTAAGGGTCATAATTAGTAATACTATAATGTGCCCTTCTCCATTCTAAATTTTCTTGCTA